TCCTGCAAAATTTTGACGGTTCTTTATCCGTTTGTGTCGAATTGTCTGTAATTACGGGTTTTTGTTCGTTTGTATGGTCTCGGGTTTGTGACTTTGTGTATGTCTCGAAATCCAGTGTTGTAGATGTAGATTCGGGTTTTATCAGTAACATAATAGAGCAAAGATTTTAGGCATATGTCTACAGGAATCGTTATCAAATTTTCTTGAACTGTATTAATACATTGATAAATTGGTAATCTTGTGTATGTGTTGTTTTTAGATGCAGGGATTCTTGTGTTAGCTGCTTTAAGTGAAATTTCGAAAACAAAATATAAAATTCTTTTGAGTGTTGTGAATTATGTTTTGTCATAGATTGTAGCAATCAAGAACTTGTTGGTACACACCAAATTCTTGTATGGGTGTATAATGGATGATGGAGATAGTGATTTTCTGTTCATGACTTCACTGTCTGTGTGTGTAGTAGTTTTCTAATCTCTCTAGTGTTGTATTTGGAAGTCTTAATGAAAGCTATTCTTAAGCATGTGACGTTCAGAAGTTATTGACACTTTTTGTATCGAGCATTTGTTTCATTAAAGCTTTTCGTTGCTATGCAAATTGCGCTGTTGTGATCTGTTTTCTTTTTCTTATTTAAGCATAAATTGTTCGTTGTTGGTGCTTGGTTGGTTATAATATAAGATTTATTATACTTGGATGATTTGAAGTAAGAGTCATTAATCGTTTTTTCTTGATTTGTGGGTGATACTTAGGATGGAAATGAAGTCTTCTTTAGGATCAAGAGAAGCACTCAGCTGAAAAAGCTAATGAACGCTTACTGCGACCGTCAATCTGTGGATTTCAATTCAATTGCTTTCTTGTTTGATGGGCGTCGTCTCCGTGGTGAACAAACTCCAGACGAGGTATATCTCACTCTCTTTGTCCTTTCCCGTCTACAACTTTTATGTTTTTCGAATTGTATCGTTTCCTAAACTCAGAATCTACAATTTTACAGCTTGATATGGAAGATGGAGATGAGATCGACGCAATGCTCCATCAGACCGGTGGTGGTGGAGCAAATGGCTTGAACCTGCTCTGCATTTAGTGGTCTTGTTTTATGTCTTTCGATAAGACTGTGATATTGTAATGGACATATCATGGAGTCGGCTTTTTAGGATAACTTCGGCCAGTTTCTCTTTAGAAAACTACTTACTGGTCATTGTCTATGTGAAACTCAATATTATTGGATCCTATAATATTAATGGGCTTTTCTTTATGGGCTTTTCAATATTTGTGTTTTATATATATTATATATATTGAAGAAATCGCTTAAGCTGAAAGCAACCTTCTCCAAATATCAACAAAACCTGCTCCCCACGTTTGCGTGAGACCCAAGCTTCTCGCTTCTTTATAAGAACCTTCTTCTCGTTTTACAAACGTTGACCGTTTTCACTAAACCCTAGTGATGGCTGCATGGTCGGATTTACTCCCGGAGCTTCTCGACGTTGTTTTCCACAGCGTTGACTCTGCCGGAGACACCCTTAACTGTGTCACCGTCTGTTCTTCTTGGAGAGATTCTTCTTCCGCCGTGTATAGTCGCAAGTTTGTTCCTTTTCTCTTTGTTTCCCACCTCTCTGCCGAAGAAGAAACTCAATTGTCCGACCGATTTAGGGTTTTGTCTCTAGAGAATTTCGATTTCTCCGGGACGAATCAGAGATTGGTTTGCGGAGCCACGCTAGGGTTTTTGTTAACGGTCACTGTTTCTTTCCCGTTCGAGGTTCACTTACAAGACCCGTTCGCTAACATAGTAGCTTCTCTGCCACCATTAATATCTTTTGAGGATGTTCAGCGGTTGCTTCAATCCCAAGCCATCTTTCCGGACTTTGAAACCCTAAAGAACTTTGTCAAGAAAGCAGTCTCTTCAACAAGTTTATTAGACCCTGATTGGGTTGTGCTCATAATCTACAATACCGATGGAAAACTAGCGTTCTGCAGACGCGGAGATAAACAATGGACTGATTTGAATTCTGATCACGTAGCTTCTTCTGTTGATGACATTGTGTTCTGCAATGGCGTCTTCTTTGCCCTGGACAGAATCGGAGCGATATATCACTGTGAGCTTGATCCAAATCCAAAGGCTGTTCCTTTATCCTCACCGTTTCGATACGACCCTTGCAAGAAATACTTTGCAGAGTCGGAATACGGCAAACTGTGGGTGGTTCTAAAGAAGCTAGAGCTTAGCGACGATTATGATTTCGCAATCTATTTCGAGATATACGAGTTCAATTCAGAGACGAAAGAATGGACAATGGTGAGAAGTTTGAGAGGAAAAGCTTTGTTCTTGAGTACTCATGGTGATGGTAGATGTGTAGCGGTTTTAGCATGTGAATCCAGATCTAGAGGGTTCATCAAAGACAATTCTGTTTACTTTGTCAATGGAGACGATGCAAATTTTGGATCAGGGTCGCTGAATCTTAGCATTTTCGAATGGGAGAGTAAGCAAACCTGGAAGCTTTACCAGCCAAGATCTTGGAATTGTCATATGTTTTGGGTCACACCTACAAATGTTCTTCAAGGATGAATGTCTTAAGGTTCATAGTTGCA